TGATAGTTCTTGATTACTTTTTGATAAATAATTCGTTCTTATTGCGAAATAGGAGCACTATTTATCAATCTGTAATAAAAGACATGAGGAAATTCTGTCTTTTTTAAAGACAAAAATTTTTGATGCGAAATACCCAAAAAGAAGTTTGTAAAAAAATACAGAATAGAAGTTTTTGAAAACAAATGCAGATTTCTTGATTATAATGTTTTTTAAATATACCGATAACAATTTATTTTTGAAGGGTTTGCAAGGAAATCCAGGACTAATCGGACGACCAGGAGTGGCAGGCCTGCAGGGCCCTGTGGGATTAACAGGAGCCAAAGGCGCCAGGGGCGAAACAGGACAACGGGGCGACATCGGCCTAATGGGCCCCCCGGGACGCCCAGGCGAACCTGGACCGGCTGTAAGTGAGCCAAAGAGAAATCCCTCATACAGGACATATTTCTTTGAAACTATCCAGGGCCACCCTGGAAGCGCCGGACCTTCCGGCCCTCCAGGATTGCCGGGAATTAAAGGCGGCCAAGGAGACCAAGGCCGAACTGGCAACCCTGGCCCACAAGGCCTGCCTGGTATCCCCGGCTTGGAAGGAACCAAAGGAGAGGCGGGCGCAGAAGGCCCCACTGGGCCTCCAGGGCAAACGGGACCAAGAGGCGCTACTGGGGAGAGAGGTTTACCGGGGCTGCCTGGAGGCGCAGGGCCGATTGGGCCAATCGGGCATCGGGGCCCGCCAGGGGAACCTGGAGTGGCTGGAAAGCCTGGAAACGAGGGCCCGCTTGGGCCTCAAGGCTTAGGTGGTCCTGCGGGCCCACCTGGACCCAGTGGAGACCAAGGCCCTGAAGGTACTGATTTTGTTTAGTGAGGAAACAATTCTTGTTTCCTATTAAATCCGTTAATTCTCCCTTCGAGGTTTTGCCCATTTTATCCGAAGAGTTGATTTTTCTTGCCATAAAAATGGCTCAGAGTAAAATACGGTAAAAAAGTCTTCGCTCACAAGCATAGCGGTCAAAATCCCAGTCAAGAATGATTCAGACAGGTAGGAAGGAAACATTAAAGTGAACCTTTAACCCTTTCCAGGGCCTCCGGGCAAAATCGGTCCTCCTGGAATTTCCGGCAGAGTTGGAGACAAAGGGCCGCCGGGCTCTCCAGGCCATCCAGGCCCCAGCGGCCCCCCAGGGCTGCCAGTAAGTTGAAACAGCTCTTTGCAATTTCTAGAAACTAAGAATCAATTGAAATTCCCAGGGACTCCAAGGATCCGTCGGGCCTATCGGCTTAACAGGCGAAAGAGGCCAGCCAGGCGAGCCAGGAGCTCAAGGCACTGAAGGAAGGCCCGGCGAACGGGGCAAAGCAGGCCCACAAGGCCTGGAAGGTCCCAAAGGAGACAGAGGAGAACCGGGACTTAAAGGAGCTAAAGGACACACCGGGCTTATGGGACTGCAGGTGAGCCAGTGAATATTGCGCGGAGATTGGGAGGTGCTAACTGTTGACCTCCAAGGGCCTGCCTGGCAGTCAAGGAGCGCCGGGCGAAAGAGGAATCCAGGGATCGCCAGGTTTTGCAGGGAAAGATGGAGATGCGGGACCTCGAGGTCCTCCTGGAAGGGACGGCAATTCGGGCCCACCTGGACTGCCCGGAAATCCAGGCCCACGAGGCGAAAGTGGAGGCGATGGCAGACCAGGAACGCCCGGAAATCCAGGTAGAGAATTTTTTTTGCTTCAATTATTTCTATTGAAGCAATTTTTTTAAATAGTACAAACAGGGTTATTGATTGAACTTGAGCCACCCCGTTTTTGCATCTAATTTGAAATTTAATGAAAAATGTTAAATATGAAAGTTGTAGATATTAACGTCTAGTTTATTCTAAGATAATACCGATTAATACAGGGTGTCTCAAATTTAAGTCGCAGACCAAACTTATCTTTTTTTAAATGGAAGGCCGGACTTTTATTGCAGATTCCAACTATTCGCACAATTCTAGGCCTATTCGATATAAATGTTATATATTATATTGTATAATAATAAGCAATATTGATTGAACAATGGCCACCCCGTTTTTCCATCCAATCTGAAATTTAAAGAAAAATGTTAAATCCAAAAGTCGTATATATTAACGTCTAGTTTATTTTAAGATAATACCAATTGATACTGGGTATCTCAAATTCAAGTGGCAGACCAAACTTACCTTTTTTTAAATTGAATTTGAGACACCGTGTAGCAATTGTTATTGTCCTAAAATAAACTAGACGTTAATATCTACAACTTTTGCATTTAACATTTTTCTCTAAATTTCAAACTAGATGCAAAAACGGGGTGGCCAAAGTTCAATCAATATTGCTTATTAACTCAAAAACAGTTGAAAATCATTATAGAACATTTATATCGAATAGGCCTAGAATTGTGCGAATAGTTCGAATATGTAATAAAAAGTACGGCATTCCATTTTAAAAAAGGTAAGTTTGGTCTGTCACTTGAATTTGAGACACCCTGTATCAATTGGTATTATCTCAAATAAAACTAGACGTTAATATCTACAACTTTTGCATTTAACATTTTTCTCTAAATTTCAAATTAGATGCAAAAACGGGGTGGCCAAAGTTCAATCAATATTGCTTATTAGCTCAAAAACAGTTGAAAATCATTATAAAACATTTATATCGAATAGGCCTAGAATTGTGCGAATAGTTCGAATATGTAATAAAAAGTACGGCATTCCATTTTAAAAAACGTAAGTTTGGTCTGTCACTTGAATTTGAGACACCCTGTATCAATTGGTATTATCTTAAAATAAACTAGACGTTAATATCTACAACTTTTGTATTTAACATTTTTCTCTAAATTTCAAATTAGATGCAAAAACGGGGTGGCCAAAATTCAATCAATAACCCTGTACATTGTGCCACCATCTTTCCTATTTCGGCAGAAATTTGATTGGCCGAGACTATTTTCAAAATTTTCTAACCCACTAAAAGCCACTAAACTATTAAAAAAAATTGGGGTTGTTTAGGTCAACCAGGACCTCCAGGACCTCCAGGCGAAGGCATCGGCTACGACGCAGCCTCTCTGGCCGCTCTTCTATCCAACGCGAACACCCAAAAAGGGCCAGACGCGATGGGCGATGAGCCATACGCGCCAAGAGTCTTCGGCAAAGAACTAACAGCGGAGGAAACCAAAGAGCTCATCAACAAAGCCTACGAACAGCTGAAGAGATCGTTCGATAAATTCCGGAAACCCAATGGGGAGAAGGACAGTCCTGGGCGAACTTGCCGGGATATTTGGGCGGCTTATCCAGAATCCTCTAGTGGTGAGTGAGTGAGTTGTTGCCCTGAGGCTTAACGAGTATTGTCGATTTTTTTAGGGCAATATTGGATTGATCCCAACGACGGCGATGCTAAGGACGCAGTCCTGGTGCATTGCGAGATGGAAAAGAAGGCTTCCTGCGTGTTCCCCAGCCCGCAAAGGTCGCAGCAGCTCCACTACATTGGCGAGGAACCGGAAATCTGGCTAGGAGAAATCGAGAAGGGAATTAAGGTAGTTGCAGTATGAATTGGAAAAAAACTAAGTGCCAGCCGGTGATTTTTTCAGCTGCACTACAAAGCTCATTCCTCCCAACTCGCCTACTTGCAACTGCTGTCCTCCAAAGCCACTCAAAACGTTACTTACCACTGCCGCAATTCCGTTGCTTATTACGACGCCAATAAGCACACTTATAGAAAGGGGCTGAAGCTGATGAGCTACAACGATGTGGAAATCACCCCCAAAGGCAACAAGCTCCGATACGAAGCTGTGCTGGATGAGTGCAAGGTAAGTTTCGATGTAAAGATGTTTAGGTTCAGGAAGTTTATTGGAAGAATGTTTCAGTATCGGAAAGATTCTTGGGCGAAATCGGTACTAGAGTTCAACACCGATAAGCCCAATAGGCTCCCCATCATGGATATCGGTGTAAGGGACGTTGGAGAGCCTGATCAGAGCTTCTGGGTGGAAATAGGCGCTGTCTGCTTCTCCTAGAGGAGAATGGCGACTTCACACAAGTAAAAACGTGATAAATATGTGCCTTAGCTTATATGAATATGTCACATTTGTTTGATGCTGAGAAAGAGTACTAAATTAAGGGCTTACTGTAAATTCTACGGTTATAATAAAATAAAATTTCAACGAAAACACAGCAAAGATGATGAGTGATTGGAGAAAAAGATCATTTGCGAAAGAAACATTTTACGGTGCGCTGTTAGGATGATTTCGCAGAAAAAACCTGGCCAGTGAGGAAGGTTTAAAAAATGCGGGGTTTTGCTTTGGTAAAGTACCATTCACATAACTTTATTAAACTTGAACTACAGCGTCCTCATCGTGTATGTTCACACTCACATCAGTTTCCTCGTTCTGTAAGTGTTCCACGTCGATCCCTGAACTAGCAGAACCGTTACTGCCTACTTTTTCATACCCGGGAATATCACTATCCACTTCGTTACGCAACCGCTCGTACGGTGGCTCACTTTCCGTTGTCCTACTCGCACTATTCGAACTATCCGAAACATCTGCGGCCTTTTCCGCAACGCAAACTTTGCCCTCTTCGTGAAACGGCTCGAAATCCTTGACGCTTTCGTAGTTTGGATCGGACTGATTGACGGACTCGTAATTCGGATCGCTTTCGCTTCCGCTGGACTTCGTTGCTGCATAGTTGGGGTCGACTGGATGCCCCAAAGCTGGGGTGAAACTGGCCTGATTGGATGGCGCCTGCAATATACCAAAGCCCTGATAGTTGCCTTTCAAATGTGTACAATATATATACCTTCTTCTTTTTGTTGACCACTGAATATCCGAGATTATTTACGTCGTCTTCGCCTTGCTTCAGCTGCTGGAAACTGGGGCCTGATTCCGAACGAACTTCACGAAGCGCTTCGTATCCGGGATCCGATGAAGCTGCCAAACTGTCTGGGCCATTGATGCTCGCATATCCCGGCTCGCAGTCCATTCCTCCTGAAGAATCAATTCACTTAGCTCATCCCTTTGGGTGATTTTAGGAGAAACTGCACCTTTAATCTTCTCATAACCGAAATCGCTGTTCGTAGTCGAGCTTTTCTTCAGGGTTTCGTAGTTGTGCTCCCTATTGCGTAAGGAGCCCTCAACTTGACTGATGCCGAAAGAACTCCTAACGGATCCATCCTTGTCTGAAAGACTGAACCCATCGTCCACAGCATCTTCTTTCCTAACTTTCTGCACTTTGGCGTACAAATCGTCCAAGTTTCTCTTCACCTGCAGCTTGTCCGTGTAAAAGTCGGCGCTGCTGGCCGTGGGCGGAGGCGGAAGAGGCGAGTTAGCTTGCCGTTTTTCGGGCTTCGGCGAGCCGAAGTTTCCAGAACTCGATGAAGATGCTGCGAATTAACCTTTGAAGTGTGGAAAAACACAAGAGCAACTGCTTCACCTTGTCTGGAATGTGTATGTGAATGTGATGCGTGGACGGACTGAGGGGGTGCTTCATAGAGTTCGTCAATTTCTTCCTGCCTGGAAATGGAAATAGAATCTTTAAAAGTTAACAAGTTTTAATTATTAATGAGCCAAACACGGCCCCCATACAGAGCTGAGCTTTATTTTTGATGAATCCCCCCAGCAATCGCCTGTTTTGATTTTATAGCTACTAACCTTTCGTCGCTGATTCGTTCCAAAGGAGGAACATTGATTTCAGCCTCGACCGTAATGGGCAAAGGAGGAATGCGAGCGTACGTTTCACTTTCGCTGTTGTAAATGGGATTATTCGGATCAGGAATGGTAGTGTAAACATCATCTGCAAAACATGTTCAACCTTTCTTAGATTAGTGCAAATTCCCTCAAAGGGATTGGGGCCCACCAGAGTCATCAGACACTGTAGAATAGTGAACATCGAGCTTCCTCTTCTGCTTCGACACGCCGGTGGTTTGAGCGAGAATATTCGCCAGGGGCTCCCGCACGCTGATGCTGGTATATCCTTCTAAAAAACACAGCCTTGGAGCAGTTAGTTGCAGAAGGCCGCATTATTTCTTACTGGAGGAATCCTGCGAGTCCCCGCTGAAGTTAATAGGCGGAGTCATATAGGGCAACTCGTAGCTGGCAGCGATTCCGCCAGCTACAGCAGTTGCTGCTGGAATATCCACAGGCTCATTGCTCTGAGCTGAAGATCGACGCGACCGAATTGGCGTGCTGGGATTGGCTGATGTGCTCGGAATGTCCGCTCTAAAAACCAAAAAAGTACATTGTTTGGGGTTGACGGCATCAACGGGAAAACTACCGGAGCAAAGTGATGCGCTCCTCCGAGCTGGTGTGCGTTTCCTCATAAACAGGAGGACGTAGAGAAGTGGGCTGCACTTGGGCATAGGGATGTTCTTTTTTGGACTTGATTTTGTCGTACTTTACTCTTTCATATGGGGAAAAAGTGTCGTCCGCCTGGCTAATGGAACTGTGCTGCGAAATGCTCGATCTCACTTCAGGGCCTTTAACTGCACTGGGTTTGTCCCCTGGAAGGTTTATGCATGAAACATCTACCCCAGACGGTCGTGTGAGGTGAAATACCCGCGCTCTGGTACTGGCCGAGGGTGGCGTAGTGCTCTGAAGAGTTGTCCCCATTGGTATCCCATGTAACCCCAGCAGTGAGTTCGGATGGAATGTCTGGCAGGCTTCTATGGGAATTCGTCGGGGCATTTCTAGGCAAATACATAGCATTGAACAGTGGTTTCCGAACTCTTTTGGCCCACGGACCTCCTTTCACACTCAAAACTTTTCCACGGCCCCTGGGTAAAAACTGCATAAATGCACAATAGAAAAATTTAAGAGAATTTCCTTCGGGGAGCGAAGGACTTTCTGAACTTTTTCCCTTAAAAAATAATATTATTAATTATTATTAAGAAAATTCCAAATAAAATCAATGGAAAACTTTAGGTGCTTTGAGGCACGCGATAAATCGATTTTAGAGGTCCAATTCCTTTTTGCACAGGGTTTTTCAACCTTTAAAAGAGAGCCGGGGAGAAAGCCCCGAGAAAGAAAAATAAAGGTCCGGCCTACTGTACAATAACCCAAAATGCGGAATATAAAATCATGCTCTGATTTTGTAACTAGAAATTGTCGCATCCTTGTTTAAACATCGGTTTTAGCTCCTACATTGATTTGTGCTCTACAACTTCGAAAACTTCTTCCAAAATGGTTCTATTCTATAATTTTATATCAAACCCCTGACCTTGCCCAGGGCCCCTGAGGGTCCGAAGGCACCACTGGCATAGAAGGTTGAAGATCAGAAGCTGGAAAGTACCTTTTATCTGGAGTTTCCCCATTCGCCACCCCATTCTTGCAGTTCGCAGTGGAGGGCAGATGATTGACGTTCTCGTCTGGATTCTTTTGCGTCACCATTCCATCCACCCCTAGCCATTCGTTCCTTAAACACCGATAAAGAGTTAAAGGCAATCTGGGGCCCTCAGGGCAGGTTCTTACGTGGGAGTTCTGTCCTTCCAGCAGAGGCAAAAGAGCAAGGCCATAACCAAGCTGATGCAGATCGAGACGGACACGAAAATCATCCACATTATGATCAAGTTTCGTGGATAAAGCGTGGTTCATTGTTTTGCCCACAAGCCGATGTTACAGTGAAAACATTGATGGGTTGGAAAGGGCGGTGCTCTGTTTAATTAACCTTTCACCGGCTGATGACTGCACGGCTGGCTATGGCGATGACACATTTACAACCGTTATCCGTTAGAGTCCCCAGCCTAAATGCTAGACTGGCATTAACTTTTAATGTTTTTCTGTTTTTCTTGCGACTATCGTCAACATAACAGTAATTATGTGACGTTTGTCAGAAAGGCCACTTTTTCTGAGGTTGACGGTGTTTTCTTCCTCCTTGTACGCCAAAATTTGACAGGTTTCCAGCCAAAAGGAAGAAAATGCTATATTTTTCCAAAACCTAACCTCAACACGTGGCGTCCTCAATTGAGTGAAGGGAATTCTAGTTGCAAAGAAAATTCGAGTTAATTTCCACAATGTCTGCAGATTTTTATATCCGTTACTATGTGGGCCACAGGGGCAAGTTCGGGCACGAATTTTTGGAGTTCGAGTTCCGGCCGGATGGCAAATTGCGCTACGCCAACAATTCCAACTACAAGAACGACACGATGATTCGCAAGGAAGTTTATGTGCATCAGTGCGTGATGGAGGAATTGAAGCGGATTATCGTCGATTCGGAAATCATGCAGGAAGACGACGCGCTTTGGCCGCCTCCAGACCGCGTTGGGCGTCAGGAGCTGGAAATCGTCATCAATGATGAACACATTTCGTTCACCACCTCCAAAACGGGCTCATTGGTGGACGTCAGTCAATCGAAGGATCCCGAGGGGCTTCGCTGCTTTTACTACCTGGTGCAGGATCTCAAGTGTCTCGTGTTTTCGCTGATTGGCATGCACTTTAAGATTAAGCCCATATAAACTAACTGTAAGGTGATTATCAATGATTAAACCTACTTTTCCTTATAGCGAATGGATTTATTGAAGCTTGTTCGAATCAAGCGAACAGTCCTAATAATGGTAATACAGTGTGACTTCAACGAACAAATTTGGCCTTCCTCGGGCACTAATTTGCATCGAGTTAAATAGGAAGTCTCTCAATTGAAGCCAAATCTGTAGAAATGCCTTGGGAGAATGGGGGTATTTAGGGGAGTGATGGAGATTTGAAGTGTCAGCTCCCATAAGAGCCTGTAGTGAATTTTCGGTTTTCCTCCCCTGGGTCAAAGTAGAACTTTTTGGAATCATAAATCGACTGTTCCATTGTCCCCATATTTAAAAAAACAACTTTGTTGAAGAACTTACTCCCTCAATAGACATTGTTCCGTTCCAAAAAGTACGCCAGATTGCTCTCTGTTGGGCCAATGAATGTTGCAGTACTCTTGATCATGTGCTTACGGGACACTGTGTATTTCAAGGAGTTTTAGGAAAATGAAACTAAAGCTTGGCAGTTAGAATTTATGAAAATGGAGCGGCTATTCAGAGTAGCCACCAAAAAAGTGGCCTAGTCGTGGTCAAACTCAAACTTAATAGTCATCTGGATGGTACAGCTCAGATAAGAGCCGATATACGTACGAGGGCGAATTGCCTCCTCTGTAAAAACAATCCAATTAATCAGCTATAAAGACAAAATCGGGGAAACTCACTGATGTGTGATCAAGAGGGAAATGAGCTCAGGTGGCACATAGTCGAATCGGGGGTTGATCACAGTAACATCATTCAACATTGGCCCCAAAGATAAGGGGAGGATTTCAGCGGGTGAGGCGTATTCGTAGAAAGTTGCATCATCAACCGAGCCCTGGCTGACGGTGCTGAATTCGTACATGTGACATAAAACAAAGACCTGAAACTGTTCAAATATCGATTTGAGGGGGGTTTCGAGCACTTACTGGGACGGCGAAGTGCCTCGCGCACAGAGCCACTGTATGGGACCCGCTTTGAGCCCTCAGCCCGCCGTTGCCTAGAACCATTTGGGTTCCAATAACCACTTTATTCACTCTGGACATCATGGCGAATATTGCCGCGTCCGACACTACGGTCACTTTAATCTTGCTCTCGACGAGACTGGCCGCCAAGTCGTGCCCCTAAAAACCTACCAGTTGCCCTCATTCTAGTTTAGAAGCAAATACCCACCCACCTTGCATAATGGAGCTGCTTCCGCAACTACAACATTGAATTTCCTGCTCTTCGCAGCCGATTTTAGAAACATTTCTACTTTTTCAGACATTCCTATCGTGAGAATCGTCTCATTGTTGTGAATCAGCTCGGGGGCTTGCGCCGCAATGTTGTCCGCGCTAGAACCAAACCATTTATTCCTCTACCGTGCTTAGGCACTTGCTAGTATCGTCTACCTAGATTCCAGCTCAGATTTGTACTCAGAAAGATGTTTCAAGAGCGCGGCTTTCAGGCTTGAAAGACTCTCCGAGTAATCGACTACATCTGTGGAGTCTGCCCGGACAATCTGGTGCAGGGAGTTTGACTCTCCTTTTTTCTGTAGATATCAATAAGGCTGGTGAATAAACAGGCAATTTTGGCCTGCAATGGTTTACCTCAGAAGCCAGTTCGAATTCATCGCGAACGATTTTCAAGATGTGCCTCATTATATTGGTAGCAATGCCCCCCATTGGCAAGCTCTGTGCTATGCACTTGATTCGCATCCGAATCAATTCCATTAGTTGCCTAAAGGTGCAACCCTCAAGTTAGGTACACAAAAATACTATTGGAACATGAATCAGACTATGAAGGCTTTCACGGCCAGTTAAATCACATTTAGGAATGTTTCCCGGGCTTTAAAGCCGTGGTCTATGGGAGTTTCTTCCACAACTGCGGTGGACATTATCAAAGGAGATGAGGCAGTGGGCGAGGTGATCTCCCGGTCTCCTGGTCTTAGTCGGAAAGGACGGGAGATCACTTCGCTCACTGCCTCATCGCCTTTGATAATGTCCACCGCAGTTGTGGAAGAAACTCCCATAGACCACGGCTTCAAAGCCCGGAAAACATTCCTAAATGTGACTATTCGAACATGTTAAAAAAAGGCTTTGATTCACTTTTCAAAGAAAACTCATAGATTCATCATTACTGATGATTGGTTCTTCAAGCCAAACAGAATAGTCTGGTAAATGTTCATTTAAAAAAGTGCGATTTTTGTAGCTGTTGAAGACTTACATTGCACTAGTCCAATTCCCGTTCGAAATCAGCGCTTCCAGCAGCTCTTCGGTCTTGACCGCAACGTCATGGGGGTTGCAAATCACTCTGAAAAATTGTCTCCAATTAATTATACAAACAGTAAGGCAGTTAGGGCTCTATTTAAGTTGATTATTGGGCCCCATTTCATCGCAGATAATTCACTATCCACTTAAATCAAGCCCCAACTGACTTACTGAAAACTGGGGCCCATGACTCGCTTAGAGACTTTTAACTCACTTACTTGTGCTTTATATCGCTTATTAGCTGCATAACATCAGACAGCCGTTCCAGGTCCATTTTAATAATTAGTTTAACTCAAAACATTTAATAAAACAAGATTCTAGCGAAAGTAGGTGGCAACGGAATGCAGATAGTTTTTCTTTAACATGTCTTTAACCCAATATGTAGTCTGCGCTTTAACCATCCACCATATACATGGCAACAGAACCTGGCGGATCGCGCTTGCTCGCTTCATTGCCGTGTTGCCGCATTGATCCTGGTGGTGTCATAAAGTAGAATTATCGAGCATTTTTATTTAAAAAAATACCTTTAGAAAGCAGAAAACTGATTGAGAACAGACTATACTAAAATCAAGCGCTAAATTATGGCCAAATTTTGCTATTAACTAAATAAAAAGCGGAGAAAGTCTTCAATTTGTCGGCACGTGTATAAGCGGTTGCCTGCACAATTTGACTCAATAAACTTTGGTTAATTGTCAGGCAAAAACATAAATACTAGTAGTAATTTAGTTAATTAATAAGCCCTCATTGGAAATATATAGCTTTAAGAACAATGACCGAACTAGTGGAAAAATGCCGAAAGCTGGTGCAAAAGTATATAGACCTGGTAAGCGGCCCATATTCATTTCCAGCTAATTAAAGCATCTAAGACCAACAAACTTCCAGCATATGTACACAGCAGCTCTATTCTGGGCTGATAAGATAGTAGTGCAGACCGACAGCCCCAGAGACGTGTTCTGGCTAGCGCAGTGCATGTACCTACAGAAACAATACCATAGGGCTGCTTTTTTGATGCAATCTAGAAACCTAGATAAGGTAAGCTTCTATCTATCCTCTATCCATTTTCTATCATTCTACTGTTGCAGACTCACTTTCTTTGCACCTATTTAACAGCCAAGTGCTTCTATGAAGCAAACGATTTGAACGAATCCCTCAAGATTATAAATTCTAGTCAGTTGAATACGATTTTGTCTAGTGGGACATTTACTCCGAATATTTCTGAAGTGGAGTTGGTTCTGTTTGATGATACCCCCAAATCGGTCGGTCTATTTGCAGGCAACTTGCAACAGTGGACAATTTGTCACTTTTTTAGCAAGCGATATCATCATTTCTGTTGCTAAAAGGGCGAATTCTGGAAGCGATGGACAATAGGGGCTTAGCCTCTGATTGCTATAAGCAAGCCCTTCATTGCGATGTGTTCTGCTACGAAGCTTTCGACTTACTGATTAAATATCAAATGCTGAACGCTTCAGAAGGTAGGATGGCTTAACGGGGCGCATTCTTTCCTATAGGAAAAATGTTCCAGAAAGGGCGCTGCTGCTTTCCATCCCCATAGCAGATCAGTGCTCGCCAGACGAAGTCGATATCTTAAGAAACCTCTACGCAATGAAGATGAAAAAGTACCACACACCCACAGCCCCACTAAACCGCGAGGGCCTCATTTTGCTGACCGACAACAAGCTTGCTTCCAGCACGCCTGGGTGTATCAAGTCGCTGCCGCCCTCGCCCAGCTTGCATGTGTCCCCTTGCTCGATAAGCACCCCGATGGTGGCGAATAATAAGGTCAAAAAGGCCAGCGATAAAATGCAAGTGGATGCCACAGACTATTGGGATCTGGGCAAGTTTCAGGATAGTTTGGACTTGAAGGTTTCACAAGCGGAGATTTTGTACTACAACTGCGACTATCAGAATTGTGTCGCATTGACCGAGAGCATCCTGAAAAAGGATCCTTATCATGATGGGTGTTTGCCTATACACATTTCCTGTCTGGTGGAGTTGAAACAGACTACTAGTAAGTGGGAGCACTTAAACAGGCATTTTAAACCAATCAGCATCACATAATGCTTTGACGCCCTTTAGATCTGTTTTCTCTGGCCCATTCCTTGGTCGACTTGTACCCCAACATGGCCATATCCTGGTTTGCGGTTGGCTGTTATTACTACGTGATTGGTAAGAGATTTACGCTTTAAGGTAAGAGAGAATTGAGTGTTTTTTCAGGTAAGAGCGATCCTGCCCGCGGGTATCTGGCTAAAGCCACCTGTCTGGACAAGTTGTTCGGGCCAGCCTGGCTGGTGTATGGCCACTCATTTGCCAGCGAAAACGAGCACGATCAAGCGATGGCTGCTTACTTTAAAGCCTCCCAACTGATGAAAGGGTAAGTCACCTGCACCAAACTGAGTCTTTACACCTGAATGTTTGTCCACATGATGCAGCTGCCACTTACCACATTTGTATATCGGCCTGGAATGCGGCCTTACCAACAACGTGTGGTTGGCCGAAAAGTTCTTCCAGCAGGCGCAAGCAATCGCTCCAGAGGACCCGTTTATTCTGCACGAAAGAGGCGTGATCTGTTTCCAGAATGAGGAGTGAGTGGACAGGGATTTTTGAGTGTAGATTAACCGGATTGATTGGCTGCAGGCACCAAAAGGCCGAGCAATTCTTCGTTGAGGCTCTGGACAAGATCAAGAGGGTGAGACGCGGGCCCATACCGTCCAGATGGGCGACGCTTTGGAACAATTTGGGACACGCGCGACGGAAACTGAAGAAATTGGACGAGGCGCTGGAGTGTCATAATGAGGTGAGTTTTTAACTGGTCACTGCTTGAAGTAGTCATCCTCGAGTTGTAGACGATGTTATGATTATTTGTGGTTTTACCATATTGGAAAGCAGGGGTGTCAAACTCTAAAGCTAACTTGGGCCAAATGAACAATGCGCAAAATGTTAAACATAAAAGTTGTAGATATTAACGTTTAGTTTATTTTAAGATATTACCAATTGATACAGGGTGTCTCAAACTCAAGTGGCGGTACAAACTTACATTTTTGTGAATGGAATGGCACACTTTTTATTTCATATTCGAACTACGCAAAATTGTAGGACTATTTGATATAAATGTTCTATAATGATTTTCAACTGTTTTTGAGTTAATAACGAATATTGATTGAACTTTGGCCACCCCGTTTTTGAATCTAATTGGAAATTTAGAGAAAAATATTAAACAGAAAAGTTGAAGATACTAACGTCTAGTTTATTTTAAGAGAATACCAATTGATGCTGGGTGTCTCAAATACAAGCGATAGACCAAACTTACCTTTTTTTTAATGGAATTCCGTACTTTTTATTGCATATTCGAACTACTCGCACAATTCTAGGCCTATTCGATGTAAATGTTCTATAATGATTTTCAACTGTTTTTTTGTTAATAACCAATATTGATCGAACTTTGGTCACCCCGCTTTTGCATCTAATTTGAAATTTAAAGAAAAATGTTAAATACAAAAGTTGTAGATATTAACGTCTAGTTTGTTTTGAGATAATACCAATTGATACTGGGTGTCTCAAATTTAAGTGCCAGACCAAACTTACCTTTTTTTAAATGGAATGTCGTACTTTTTATTGCATATTCGAACTACTCGCACAATTTTAGGCCTATTCGATATAAATGTTCTATAATGATTTTCAACTGTTTTTGAGTTAATAACCAATATTATTTGAACTTTGGCCACCCCGTTTTTGCATCTAATTTGAAGTTTAGAGAAAAATGTTAAATACAAAAGTTTTAGATATCAACGTCTAGTTTATTTTAAGATAATACCAATTGATACTGGGTGTCTCAAATTCAAGTGCCAGACCAAACTTACCTTTTTTAAATTGAATGCTGTACTTTTTATTGCGTATTCGAGATATTTGTAAAATTCTAGGTCTATTCGATACAAACGTTCTATATTGATTCGCAACTTTTTTGAGTTAATAACCAATATTGATTGTACTTTGGCCGCCCCGTATTTGCATCTAATTTGAAATTTAGAGAAAAATATCAAATACAAAAGTTTTAGATATTAACGTCTAGTTTATTATAAGATAATACCAATTGATACAGGGTGTCTCAAACTCAAGTGCCTTTATAAACTTACATTTTTTTAAATGGAATCGCTCACTTTTTATTTCATATGTTAAATGTTTCAATGTTTACCAATTATGAGTTTATGTAAGTTTTAAATCTGAGGATGGCGCTGTTGTCTCGCCGAATCGTAATGAAATAAACGATACTTAAAATTTTTACTTTATACTTTGACTGAGACCCAGGAAGGATAAGAATATAATAACAATTACACGCAGTCAGGAAAATAAATCAAAATATCTACAACTTTTGTATTTAGAATTTTTTCTGAATTTTAAGTTAGATGCAAAAACGGGGCGGCCAAAGTTCAATCAATAACCCTGTACATTGTACTGAACTGGACTGGGCCGCAAAAATGTTCTGATCCTGCGGGCCGCAAGTTTGACACCCCAGTTCTAAAGCGTTTTCTTTATCCCAGGCTCTTGTCCTGGAGCCACGAAAATCGTCCACAATCTCAGCAATAGCCTACGTGCACGTCCTGAAAGGAAACTACAGCAATGCGATACATTGGTTCCATAAAGCGCTGAGTTTAAAGCGCGACGACAGTTTCAGTACCACCATGCTGAACTACATCATCGAATTGTGGGCTGAAGAAATGCCCGCTTATGAAGGCAAGTTCACCCAAACGAGTGTGAGACACTTGGCTGCTATTCTGAGTGTTTTCCAGGTTGTCCGGATGGGATTCCGAAGTTTGAGCCGCCTCCGCATAACAGCTCGACGGATCAGAGTGTGCCCTCCACAAACTCCATTCAGGACATGTCCCAAGAGATCAATGAAACACAACACGATACCTTCGAAATGAACATTGAAATGTAGAATCTTAAATAAAGTATTTTTTAATTAGCGCTACCAGCACACATTTCTAGACTAAACTGCTAAACCCAAAGCGGCAACTATTAGCGCCAGGCAAATGCCTGAAGAAAGTTTCGTTGCGGAGTTTTCCGGAATGTATTTTGTGTTTTCCATCATCCAGTAGAAGCCGTCCATTTTTCCTTGGCGTTTTAGTTCCGCGCCCACTTCCTGTCGGATTTCCTCGTTGTAACGATTGAGCCATTTTCTCTGAAACCGCCGTTTTTGAAACGATATTCCTGAGCATGGATGCAAAGCTGTTGTACCTGATGTGTGGACAGCAGATGCATAGTCATCAGCTTCTGCTGATACGGGACCAGAGTCAGCGTCTTGAATCCCAGGTATTTGTGGCCGGAAGTGTGCTGCAGCCAGGGCTTTTCCACCACCTGGAAGATGTTCTGGAGACGCACCCCGAAGTACCCTTCACGGTAGTATCCAGGCTCTGCAAAGGTTTGATTAGCTTCCCGCATCAAGGGTAGTGATTGGACTTACCGATGGTAAAGTAGTATCCGGGCTGGAAAGTCTGTTTGGTGGCCACTTCTAGATCATACTGAATGGCGATGGGGGCTGGAAAAAGCCAAGTAAATTAAGGCTGAGCCGATGACTAAACTGCGTCAACCATACATTCCCGTACTCCCAGAAATGAGCCAACTCCATGTCCAGTTTCATGCAAATAATCCAGCCCGACCTCCCACAGGGGGCCCCGCGCTAGAATATCCGCATCGGCGATTTTCATGTTATTAGGAAAAGTCAGCACGGAAAAGCTGATTTGCCCCACCAGCACCCTCGTGTAGGCCTCTTTCATCATCTCGTCCGGTTCTCCATAGTGAATCGTCCTGGTCACGCTGGTTGTTCCCTCTGGAAAATCCACAATTATTTTGTTTTTATTTTTAGTAGTGATGAGCAAAGCAAGACCAAGACCAAGACTGGTCTGGTCTTGGTCTCTTGCAAGTCTTGCTTTTATATAGCCGTAAAATTAGACGAAATAAATTTAATAATAATAGTAATAATTATTAAATTGAAAGATAAAAATCTCGGACTATTTGCTGTTTAATAAGTTTACTTATTTTGTAAGATTCAAAACTGTTGACTCGTAGGTACTTCCGATTCAGAAGATCTTTATAAAGAAAAATCGAATACATTTTCAAGTTCATAGTGTAATTTACATATTCTAACGAAAGTGCAACAACATTGAAATATCTACAGTAAGATGTGTACAGGGTGATTCGCAACCTTATGGACACAGAGCACGGGCGTGTAGAGAATCTAAAAACAAATCGAGTTTCTATTTAAGTTTTTTTCTCAGGCCCATGGTTAACAAGATACAGGGTGTTAAAATTTACAAAAAAAATCTAGTATTTTCTCTTAAACTCCTACAGTTTATGAGATATTTTGTTCAAATTGTTAACGTAGGCTAATGTTTAGACTCTTTATCCGTACGTAAAGCAACTGGTTGTGAAAATCTACAGGGTGTTCTTTTCTTTATAGAAGCATACCCTCTTTTACCCCCCGAACTTTTTTGTGGTGCTCCACTTACTTTGACCGAATACATTTCTGCATTTGCTGTTCAATTTAAGAATTTTCGGATCTCTTGCAGGTTTTTCGTATCTGTCTTCGTTTCCGAGTTATTTGCACAAATATAAGTCCATGTAGGGTTTCTGTGTGATTTTCTATGAATTTTTTTATATATTTTTTTGTATCCTTTTGTTCACCAGAAAATTATTTAATGAAGCAAAAAATTCAAAAATTTGTTCCGTCGAAGTAAGGGGCGCACCACAAAAAAGATCGGGGGGGGGGKAAAAGGGGGGTATTCCTCTAGAAAAAGGAACACCCGTAGATTTTCACAACCAATCGCCTTACCCACGGGTAAAGGATCTGAACATTAGCCAACTTTAAAAATTTGAGCAAAATATCTCATAAACTACAATTAAAGAGAAAATACCAAATTTTTTTGAAACTTTAACACCCTGTATATCGATGACCATGGGCCTGAGAAAAAAACTTAAATGGGAACTTGACTTGTTTTTAGGTTCTCTACACGCCCGTGCTCTGTGTCCAAAAGGTTGTGAATCGTCCTGTATATTTAAATATTTCGATTGGGCTTATAGAGGGTGTCCCACCGAGAACCGTCGCGATCCTATATCCCCCCTATACATATATTATTATATTTTTAAATTCTCCTCGAAATTGTATATATATTTCATGTATAATATCCTATACCTGAGTTTAACCGTTTTTGATATATTTGAAATTTTATGTAAAAAATCACAAATGCAGCTACTCGAATATTCAGTCATTTGTCCTATAAGGAAATTCGCATTTCTGATGAAAGGGACTCACTTTAATGGAATTTTGGCAACATTTTGATAACTACTAATACAAAGTGTTTAAAAAATTTCGTTTCAAAATGCCGTTGAGAAAACCGCCCAGAATCAATTTTTTCAAACGGAAACCTCCATTTTTGATAATTTTTTATGATTCAGTATTAAAAATAATGGCCAGTTTGTATAAGGTTGTCTATTCCAAAAGTGTTTAGTTTTCGAAATATTGCATTTTATTATTAATAAGAGATGCAGTACTGAATGTAGTTACCGGTACTGCGAAATTGCAAAAAAGCCTTCAATGAGAAATTGCGAGTCGACCAAAGTGTAATTTCCTGAAGCCAGTATGTATCAGCTCTTACTTTTATTCCAATCAAAAGTGATTTTGTTTTGTAATCAAGTGTTTATTTAAAAGTATCTAAAATACACACTTGATTACAAAAGAAAATCTCTTTTGACTGGAGTTTCTTCAGTGTTTACGCAACCGCTCCTCTCGCTCTTACTTTTAAACGTATGGTTCCAAAAAAAATTCTAAATTCTCCATGTATAATCTCAGAAAAACCATCGTTTTTTAAATTTTAACCCTTCATTTTTGCCACCCAAACGTGTTCAGCTTCGAAAATCAGTAGCTCTTTCCATTAGCTTGCCACATGTCTGAAATGAGCAGATTTGTTTTATTAAGGAATAACACTAGTTTTGAATAAATAATTCCATATTTTTTAAAAGAAAAACAAAAAGGCATATTTTTTCTTGATCTAAACGGACAAATAATTTTCAGAGGAAGTAAATCTTTGGGCAAAACAAATTTCGGCGGAAAAATGTTTCTTTCATATATTTTTTAAATTATTGTATCGAAAGCCCGACAACATGAGGAACAGAAAAATAACCCCAAAACAGGTTAAAATTGCTACATGAAATGTACAAAGTATGTACGAAAGCGGAAAAACCCATAACAATAAAAGAAACGAATAGGCTGATTATAGACATTATGACTGGCCCGACTCTGGACAATGCAAGATACTTGACCACACAGTATACTAGAACGGAGTGGGCATCGTTGCTTCCCCACGTATCCAACCAACAGTTAGATTCTTCACACCTTTCTCAGACAGAATGATGCTCGTGCAGCTGCACGCCACCCCATTTGACGTCAATGTCATTCAAATATATGCACCAACCGCCGACAAAGACGACGCCGTTATTGAAGAATTCTATGAACAACTAGAACGTTTGATTAAGATGACGAACAAACAGGAGATAACCATCATATTGGGCGTGTGCCAGGCACCACAGGAGATTTCGGACTCGGTGAAAGAAACGAAAGAGGAGACCGTCCTATACAGTTCTGCCAGGATCATAACTTACTACTCAGTAACTTCATATTCAAACTCCCCCCTCGCAGAAGAATCTACACGTGGAAATCGCCAGCAGACTCTGCGAAAAAATAGTTAGAAATCAAATCGACTATATAGCTATACCCAACAGATTCAAAAACTCAATAAGATCTGCAAAAACCTATCCAGGAGCAGATGTCCCCTCAGACCACATTCCGGTTGTGTGTAGGTTTGAACTGAGATTGAAACGAATCAAGAAGGCACCCTCCAAGAACAACATAGACATAGGGAAACTGTCCGACAGAAATATTCGGAAACAAGTGCAGGAATCGCTGACTAACGATTTAAAAAAAAAAAAACACGAGTAAAGCACAAGACAAATGAGATAAATTCAAAACTTCTATACAAGCAAATTGTGAAAAATATTTTCAAAAGGATAAAAACAAAAAACAAGAGTGGATGACACAAGAGATCCTCGACATTATGGACGAAAGACGGAAACACAAAGTACCGTAAAGAGGCAAAGGAAAAATGGTTCTCTGAAAAATGTGACAAAATAGAACAATATGAAGTGAAGTACGACTACCGCAATATGCATAAGGAAATAAGGGAAATGACAACAAAGAAAATAAACAACAGAAATACGTTCATACTGGACACTAACGATAATATTATTTCGGAACCATCAAAATGTCTAGAGGTATGGAAATCATATGTCGAACTCCTCTTTGCTTCGGAACGATCTAAAGAACACAATATGAATGAGATAGATACGGGACCCCCAATTATAAAATTCGAAATTGAAAAAGCTATTCTATCTCTCAAGAACGACAAAGCTCCTGGACCTGATAGCAATCAAGTAGAAATATTAAAACTTATGTGTGAAACTGATAATCAATTTCTCGATATCCTCACGAGTCTATTTGCAGTCTACGGAGCAGAAGCATGGACAACGACGGAAGCCATAATGAAAAAATTAAACGCCTTTGAAATGTGGATATACCGATATATATAAAAGGAATCTGGAATACCTCGGACACATAATGAGACATCAAAAATATCGTCTACTCCAGTTAATAGTTCAAGGAAGGATCAACAGTGAAAGAGGACCAGGAAGGAGAAGACACTCATGGCTGCAAAATCTACGCCAGTGGTTTGGACTTACATCTATACAGCTATTTAGAAATGCCGTCAATAAAATTAAAATTGCCATGTTGATAGCCAACGTCCGCGACGGATAAGGCACGCTAAGAAGAAGAAGAAGATGGACAAAGTAATTATTGAAAAACCGTATTAAACAAAATAAAATTTGTTAAAAAAAATGCATGGTAAGTGATGAGTGTTCGAAGCTGAACACGCGTATGTGCGCAAAATAAAGGGTTACAATATGAAAAATGCTAGTTTTTGTAAGATTTCGTATGACAAGTTTGATATTTTCTTTGGAAAAATTTATATAAAAATAGAATCTGATACTTTCTGGCTTAAGTAAATTTCACCTTTTTTACGATATTATCGATATCGACGAAATTTGACTACCAACATAAAAACAATTATTAATGAAATTTGTGTGAAAAGTCGAATCTTTTTTGTTGTGTTTTGGGCATTGGGAACCTCGAGCAATCATAAAATGCCAAAAAACTTTAGAAAACTACCCAATTTAAAGCGATGTGGATTATTTATGTTCTCAAATTATTAGGTTGGTGAAAATTACAATGCTGCCGAATCGTAGTAGTAGAAGTAGATTTATCGGAAATTTTTTAATAACTCCTCACGTTTGCTTGTTGCCTTTCTCTTGTACTTGTCCATGACTATGCGTTAACGGTATATTTGTGCTTTTCGCATAAACCATCATTCCATAAATAATAATCAGCAAAAGCGAGACAGCATTGAGATAATTTAAGGATGCTTCTAGTATTTATGTTTATATACATAATTTATGGCGAGTATCGCAACAACGCTCGACCGACGCTTGATGACGTGCGAACAAACTTATAGCGTACAGACTATAGATATTCAGCAACAGTCAAAAGGACTACTCTATGAGACAAACGCACCTTGAACTGGGACAAGCAAGGGGGGCACAAACACTAAGTATGTCGATGAATAACCAAATTTATTTAGGCAATATCGACGACTAACTAACTTTATTTTCCAAATATTTATCCCACCTACTTTTTTTTTTAGATTTAGATAATCTGAAAGAAAAGTTTAGAAGGTCTTGCAAAACTTGTCTTTGCATTTTCATTTCTTGCAAGACCAAGACCAAGACTGCAAGGTCAAGACCAGTCTCGCTCATCACTAATTTTGAGACTCTCACTACCTTACCATAGTATTGTCCTCCGGATTCTATCACGACTGTGCCATTATGAAAGACAATGGCGTTGGTGTTCTTAGTTGGAATGTAGTGCGGTTGGGCTCCGTTCCCAGCAAATCCCACTATAGTCCTGAAACTGTTGCCCAGACTTTCCAGTTGCTCAAACCGGAAATCGTCCAGAATATTAGCCATGTCCATTTCCGTGAAGACTTTGCCTTTCACCATCTGCCCATCGAATCCGTTCAGGTTTGAGAGCGATTTTTGTCAAGCCACTCACCTGTGCTTCAATGTATGCGAAAAAGTCGCACATTGCGGCGCCGTCCTTAACATGAGCTCTTTTCATGCCCTCGATTTCCACCGCATTTTTCACCGATTTTAGATAAATTATCGGTGATTGATGTGGTAGACGTTTTTCTGGAATAATGTGCTCATAAATAGCGTGGCTGGCACCCTCGCTGTAGACACAATGCGACGGAAGCAGGATTTTGTTGTAGAGTTGCGATTTTGTTCGCAAATCGATCCAGAGGTCTGAGTAGTTTCTTATTCTGAAATTGCGGAAGTTTATTGAAAAAAACCGGGGACACGAAAGGAGCCTCCATGCAGATGATTTTTCATGCGATTTCGCAAGGCAGGCGAAACACTATCCACAAAACACTCACCAGATGCTACTACAGGTAGGGAAAAATCTAGGAGAAATTCCGACTTAGCATGTTTCGGAAAAGTCCAATAAAAGGACTCTAATTCTCCATTGAACAGTAAATGGACGTTCTTCTAACTGAACTGGATTTAGAGCTATGCATTTTTGAAAAACCCGTCTTTGAAGGAAAAAACTCGACATTAAACTAAAGAAATAATCTCGAAGAAATTGCGACTGAGTACGTTTTGAAAACGTCCAATGTAAGTACTCTGATTCTCCATTGAACAGTATAAAGGACGTTCTCCTAACTGAACGGGATTTAGAGCTCTAAATTTTTGTTTAAGCCGCCTTTAAAGGCAAAGACGCCAATAAAGTTAGGGAAAAATCTCGGAGAAATTGCGCTAAGTATGTTTCGAAAACGTCCAATAAAAGAACTCTAATTCTCCATTAAACAGTATAAACAACGTTTTTCTAGCTCAGCTGGATTTATAGCTTTACATTTTTGAAAAAACCGTCTTAGAAGGAATAAATCGCCATTAAACTAACGAAAAAGTCTCGAAGAAATTGCGACTGAGTACGTTTTGAAAACGTCCAATAAAAGGACTCATATTCTCCATTGAACAGTATAAAGGAAGCAAGACTCCAATAAAGTTATGGAAAAATGTCGGCGAAATTTCGACTAAGTATGTTTTGAAATCTTCCAATAAAAGGACTTCAATTCTCCATTGAACAGTATAAAGAACGTTTTTCTAACGCAGCTGAATTTAGAGCTATGCATTTTTGAAAAAAAAAACCGTATTTGGAGGAATAAATCGCCATTAAACTAAAGAAATCTCGGAGAAATTGCGACTGAGTTTACTTTAAAAACGTCCAATAAAACGACTATAATTGTCCACTGAACAGTGTAAAAGACGTTTTCGCAGCTCGACGTGTTTCAGAGCTATTTTTGTAGAAACCACCCTTAAAGGCAGAGACGCGAATAAAGTTATGGAAAAATCTTAGCAAAATTGCAACTGAGTACGTTTTGAAAACGTAGAATGAAAAGATTTTAATTCTCTGAAACATTTAAAACAGTGTCAATGACGTTTTGCTAGCCCGGCGAGTTTCAGAACTACACATTTCTGAAAAAAATCGCATTTGAAAGCAAAAATGGCCTTTAAAGTTACGAAAACACCTCCAAAAAACTGAGACTGGGTATGTTTTGAAAACGTTCAATAAAAAGATCTCGCAACTCTCGATTGAACAATATAATGGACGTTTTCCTAAGTGGGCGCGAATAAGAGCTATGGATTTTTGAAGAAATCTCCTTTGAAGATAAAGTTGCCATTAAAGTTAAAGCAAACTCGCAAATTTTACCAAATTAAAAATAGTACAATTCTTATCGAAGAGGCTCAAGAACGTTGCCACGGCTTGTCAGGTTTCAGAGCTACACATTTTTTAAAGAAAGCGTGCCTTGAGGGCAAATGTTGCCATTACACTTAAGAGAAACGCTCGGAAATCTCGCAACAGAATCTGGCTGCAAACTTTCTCATAAAAAGGTCGTTGTTGAAGCTTGTCGGGTTTGTTTAGAGCTACAATTGATTTAAGAAAGCATGTCTGGAGCATGATAATTAGGGGGAAAAATTTTACCTCAAATGGTGCGAAATTTTCCGCTAAAAAACGCTCCATTTTTCAACCGTTGGAGTTTATAGATATTTGTTTACCCATGCAAAAAGGGAAAGAGTGTCTTTCTAATATTTCGGATTTTAGTCAAAAGCGTCATATCACGTAAAATAATCATGTTATTTCATTTATTTATTTAAAATATACGGTTTTCGGAAAAATTCGGTTTTTGCGGTTGCATTTCTTGATAAAAGCTCATTTTCCTAGGAAACATTCTATCCGAATGAGATGAAATTGGAGGACCTTTCCTACTTCAAAATGTTTTTGATTTAGTCATTGCAATTGCTGCCTACAAATCGGCGACAAATTAACCAATGAATGGAGCGACATCTCAGACAAAGCGTTTGATATATGCCGATGATACTCCCATAGCAGCTCAAGGCAGAATAGAAGACACTCTTTTGCAATGAAGACTAGTCAAGTTTCACATAAATCACCTTTTAGTTAGGTACTTACTGCACGGTGTCGTAATGTTTAAAAACGGACTGAGCATGCAAGTAACTAAGCACATCGTTCTTCTCCAGCTGCTTGGAATTGACATAGAGAAACACATTGTCCATGTCCAAAATGAGGTAACTTCGCAAGAAAGGCGAAAATGGAATGTCCCTGCCCCTGATATTCAACAGCCACGCGATTTCATCCAGAGACGTGACCACCATGGCGTTGGCTCCGGCTTTCTTCACCTCGTTCCGCACCTCTTCCAGCTTGGCAGTGTAGTTTTTACCTGAAAAACTGAAATATTGTAGTTGTTACCTGCATTTCCTCAGTTGTTAGACAGTCTTCTTCATCAACGTAACTCTATTCTTCATTCGCTCAATCTGTCTCTACCTGTATACTTAAAATCCAGAACAAACGCATCCTTAGTTCGTTTCTTCGGCCGCTCGCTCTTCGGCCAGATTTCATCCACCAAGCTCACATTCAGCGCTATGAGATGAATCTTCGCCCCAGCTAGTTCGTGCTTGACCTGCTTCCACATGTATTCGGATATTATCTTCGGATTGGCCCCCAATCTGGCCCCATTGGGGAACTCGGCCTTCAGCCACTGCGCCCTATAAGAACAAACAACAAATCTCCACACTATCCACAAGAGCAAATCTTAGTCCTTCTACCTAGTGGGAATGTTTTTGCGTCCCTCTCTCATCAGCAGCCAGTTGCAATCGATCTGCTCATCAGCTTGAAGATGGTAGCGGCCATCAGTCCAAAGAACGGCCTTGTTCATGGTGATGATGGCATCTCCATAGCTTCCACTAAATCCAGAAATGTACTCTCTTCTTCGGTCATATTCGTCGGTTTCGACACTCTGAAACGGGAGGCCGAGGATGCGATTGATGGTTTCATCTACATGGTGGTTCTGGTCGTTCTCCTACTCACCGAACCCAACCCACCTGGTGTTCGTCGCTAGAGGTGACAATGTAAGCGTCCACTGGATGGGTACCCAGTTGCACCTCGGAGCTCATCAGCTGTCTTATTGCGATCAATCTGGAAAAAGCAAAAGTTTACTTTCTTCTAGGATTAGTTTGATTCTGCAACATCGGATCTTTACTCAAGCCTTTCCTGTGTTTGAGAAGTTGCAATATGGGACTCAAACTGTTTTTTTTGCAATTTTTTCAAAAAAAATCTAAGGTTTGTTTAAGGAATTTCATTTGGGGGATTTGTTAGCTACTTGCGAATGTGCAACCTGGATAAGAAAATGTATTTAAAACCACAGTTGTGCCTCTTACTGCTCAAAATTAGAGGATTTGCACTCAGAGGGTTTGGCAATGCCTGGGGCAATTTTAGCGCCTCTACTTTTCAGTAGTTAGTTTAGACGGCGGAAATTTCTGTTGCTCTATTTCATTCTCCTTTTCGCGTCTTTTACTTGAACGTTTCTGAAAAATCGATTTTTTCCCAATGTCGATTTATGTTGTAGGATAAAACATGTATCCCTCCCAATTTACAGAAAAATAGCCAACGGCTTAGCTGCCATCTTCAATAATTCGTCAATTTGTGGCGTCATTTTGAAAATATGTGCAAAATTCTGTACTTTGTCCTATTTAGCTCCAATTGGCAGCGTTTATAGATTAGGGCTTTATTGATGCACTCAGGTAATTTCCAGTTTGTACTTTCTTTCGTTGGGGCAGCAGGATTTTTCAAAAATTGCTTGTCATCTTTTGAGTTTGTCCATGTTTAGTCTCCATTCAAAAATCAATCTCTAGAACATCAATGCTTCACTCAATACCATACCCACTTATCGAAACGGTGCATTGAGACCTTGGCCATGTAATGGAAAAGTTTCAAGTTTGTGCCTGTTCTGGTAGGGATCGCCGGAATTTTTAAATATTTGTTGCAATATATTCAACCAATACATTTCTCAGGTTTATTTATTTTGAACCGTTCCAATAGCATGATTTGAACGTTGGGACTTTTATAGAACAAGTAAAAAATTGAAAGTATGTGCTTGTTCTGGTTGAGATCGAAGCATTTTTTAGATTCCGTTTAATTTTGAAAGCTTTTAACTTTCGAGTGTTGACTTTAAGTAAAAAAAGCAAAGCTTTTCAAAATGCCACTCTAAACATTTCTCGCTTGAAGCCCGTAGCCGAATTAGACTCCTGCCCAATATTGCTTCCACTAGCAGAATTCACTCTTCAAGGCATGTTAATGCACGTGAGAAACTTCAAGTCTGTACCTGCTCTGGTTGCGAAAGCAGAATTTTTTGAAAAATTGGTTGCATTATTTACAACGTGCACTTTTCTGGTCAACATTTGAAGATGTCCTAAAATCAGTCCTTTATTTTCAACTTTCTCAATTGCACAACTTGTAATTTGATATTTTTTTCGAAGAATTAGAAAATGAAAAGTTGATACTTGCTCTAGTTGAAAAAACACACGTTTTCCAAAATTTCGTTACTTCCTAAAAACATCCTGCTTTGTCCTCCAAAATCGAAATTTTTTGAAAAAATTATACTCTTGCCCAATATTGCTTCTATTTACAGGATTCACTCTTCCATTGCTAATGCACGTGATAAACTTCAAGTCTGGCCTGCTCTGGTTGCGAAGGCAGAATTTTTTGAAAAATTGGTTGCACTGTTTACAACTTGCGCTTTTCTAGTCTAAATTTTGAAAGTTTCCCCAAAACCAGTCCTTTGTTTGAAAACTTTCCGAATTGCAGGATTTGTAGCTTGATGCCTTTCTCATACAAATGAAAAAGTACAAGACTAAAGTTGCTCTTGTTTAGAAAACACAAATTTTTGAAAAATTTGTTAGATCTCAAACATTTGTTCTTATATTATCCGAATTTAAAAATTTGTGAAAAATCTGAGTGCCCCAATATTACTATCACTTGTAGGATTCCCGTCTCAAAACTTTGCGAATACAGACGAGCATTTTCACGTTTGTACCTGGTCTGGTTGAGATGCCAGAATTTTTTGGAAATTGGTTGCAAAACCCGCAACTTACACATTTCAGGCCTAGTTTTAAAATTTTCCCCAAAAGAAGTCTTCTGGTCTTAAACCTTCTCGCTTATATGGTTTATAATGTGAGGCTTTTTTGGTGCAGGTAGAAAACTACAAGTCTGTACTTGACCTGTGGAAGTAGCCGGAGTTTTTTGAAAATTGCTTTAAACCCGCATATCTTGCGCTTTTGCTCTCACTGCAAAGTTTTCCGAAAAATCAGGACTTTATTCAATATAACTCCAATTTGCTAGATCTATTCTCTAAGGTCTTAGCAAATGACAGGAGAAATTTGTGGTCTGTACCTCCTTTGGTTGAGACGGTAGAATTTTTTAAAAATTGGTTTCAATATTTACAACTTGTACCTTTCGGGCCGAATTTTAAAAATGTCTACAAATTCAGCCCTTTGCTATTTGCTGGGGCTCGTACGTTCGAGCTTCTCTGGTACAGGTGGAAAATTACAAGTTTGTATTTGATCTGTTGAGGGAGCACGATTTTTATATCTTCCTAGTTTATAACTTCCTCTTCTTGTCCCAATTCTAACTTTTCTGAAAAATCAGGGCTTTGCCCAAATACCTTCCATGCGGCGAATTTTTCAAAATTCCGTAAAATTCGCAAAACTTGATCTTTTATTGCCTCAATTCGAAATTTTCTGAAAAATCAGGACTTCTACCAATACCGCTCAAATTTTCAGTATTTGCCCATTGAGGCCCTAGCAATTACCACAACAAATTTCAAGCCGCTCCCTGCTCTGTGTGAAATAGAGCAGGAATTTTTCCAATAGGCACTAAAATATTTAACGTTTGCAACTTGCATGTTTATTATGAACATTTTAGGAATTAGGAATAAATAATTGTTTTGTCCATTTTGAATAAATTACCTCATAGTTGTATTGACACGTGCAGGCGGCGGAAGAGGATTTCCCCGTTTCGAGCACGCCTTCCTCAATTCACCCTTCGCGATCATCTCCTCATCGTAAGCCGTCGAAAGGGCCACGCAACCTGAAACAGAAAAATCACCCTTTTAGCCGACTGAAAGCTGAGGAGTCAACGCCCTTGCTCAAAAAGTGCGTATCGCACATTCGCCCCAATAAGGGTGGTCCACCTCTTACGGCTTCTTGCAGCCTGTGAAACGCGCCCTCCACGGCCTAATTTTGTTGAACTCTGACAAGGACTTAACAACGCACAAGGACGGTTTCGAAGGGCGCCAAGGGCTGTTTTGTTTTGCATGGGAAACGTGTTTGTTGTTCAGGGTGCGTGTGTTAAGGGTGGCTTAATCTCCTGATGTTTCAGACGCCCTGATCTATTCGCCCTCGACGGCCTAATTCGCTCGAACTTTTAGGGCTGATCCAGGGAAGAAACTATTTACTACTTACTACTATTGGGAAACTTATTATTATTTATTTATTATTGAAAAATTTGGGGCCGTAAATTTGGGGCCGTTGCCCGTAAATCTCTGGCCCAACGCCTCAGGGGTGTTTTCGACCGAACGAGTTCAAAAACGTTGTCAACAGCAAAGCAGGGAAACATGAAGCGGAAGAAGAGAAATGTAAACAAGTTCAAGTCTTCGGTTGAAAAGTTGCAGTTGGTTGAAGGAAGACCATTATTATGAAAGACGCGACTGGCTGTCTGCATTCATTCTTTGTTCAGTCATCGGGAATTTATTGAAGAATCCGTTTGAGCCCCACACATATGTGGGAAACCACAGCAGGGGCCCTCAAGTGTCTGAAATGACGTCAACATTTTAACAGGGCTGCATGATGGGCAGAAGACTTCGCCCGAAGAGCGCACACAAGAACTCTTTACACCACGAGACTTCTTTCCTCTCCTTGCTCAGTCAGTCGCTTGCGTCATTTTTTGCATATTTCGAATTCTTATTATGTTGTAAAACTGCTTGTTCAGTTGAGTCTCTGAAATGCGCAGCCAGCAAAGGGGTGCTTTGACCCAATTTCCATAACAATGGCACGTGTGGGAGGATAAAGAGAACGGTGACGTCAAAAAACTAACAGGAATGCATAAGAGCAGATGGGGCGGAGGCCCTTGTGGCCAATATTGGCCTCAAGCCGCACGGGTGCAACAGTTAATGGGGATTTTTCGGTGCAGATGGTCTGGTTTTGTTCCCATGGCCAGTGAACGAAACGTCCACTTTCTATGATTTAGTGGTGGGCATAACTGCAGCAATTAATTGGGGTTGCTAGGTTTAATTGCAACTCTTAATTGAATTAAATTAAACTTTGTTGTTTGTCTGCTGAAACCGCAAATCGACCAGTTTTTCATCGAATAATGACGATTTTTGTTGGCGCCGAATTCGATTTTTAACTAATTGTTTGTTTTGCTAGCCAAAGTTCTAAAATTATGAATTTAGCAGCAACAGTTGGTACTTTAGGTAGTACTTTTTAAAGGAATTTCAAAAAATTGGTGCAGTCTGCACTTCAATACCTCCAGGGTATAAATTCTGCAAACAGCAAGGTTCAAAAGCAAACGACTGAGTTTGCGGAACATTTAAAATTTACGCTAGAAATGTGCCTGCTGGAAATTTTGCAATGCGCTTCAAAATGTTTCTTCAACTCAACTAGTAAAGAGTAAATGCTGCAAATTCAAGCTATATTGGAAAATTTCCTAATTTTTCAAATAATTTTTATTTGGGACAATAAAAGGGCAGGTTATGAGGGTTTAACGGATTTAAAACAAATTGAACTTTCTGAACCAGAGCCAGTACAGACTTGAAATTTTGTTAGTGCTTCGCTAAAACTTCAGAGAAAAATTCCTGCAAATTGCAGCTCTATTGGAAGAAGCCGGATTTTTGCAGAAATATTTTAATTGGGACTATAAAAGAATAAGTTATGCAAATTTAAGGGATTTTTCAAAAATGTGTGCTATCTGAACTAGAGCCAGTACGCTCCTGTACTTTTCTGCCTGTGTTACAGAAGCTTCACTGTACGAGTGTTGTTAATAGCAAGGTTGAAAAGCAAAAACTGATTTTTGACAAATTTTAGAACTCAGCCCAAAATGGTCTTTTTAAAAAATTTTCAACAGATTCGGAAAAAATTGTCATTTCTGAACCGGGGCTGTTACAGACGTGTCTTATTTTTATTGCTTTGCTAAAACCTCAGTGAAAAAATCTTGCAAATTGGAGCTCTATTGGGAGAAGCTCGAATTTTTCAGAAATATTTTAATTGCTATAAAAGAGTAAGTAATGAGAATTTAAGAGAAATTTTAAAAATTTATGCCATCTGAACTAGAGCCAATACGCTCCTGTAATTTTTCACCTGTGTTATAGAAGCTCCACTGTACGAGTGTTACGAGTGGTGTACATAGCAAGGTTGAAAAGCAAAGAACTGATTTTCTGACGAATTTTAGAACTCAGTCCGAAATGGGTTTTTTGAAAAGTTTTTAATAAATTCCAAAATAATCATCAATTCTGAACCGGGGCAGGTACAGACTTGTAGTTTTTTTGTGCTTTGATAAAACCTCAGAGAAAAAATCTTGAAAATTGGAACTATATTGGGAGGAGCCGGGATTTTTCTGAAATATTTTAATTGGGCTATAAAAGAGTATGTCATGAGAATTTAAGGGATTTTTTAAAAATGTGTGCTATCTGAACTAGAGCCAGTACACTCCTGTACTTTTCCACCTGTATTATAGAAGGTCCACTGTACGAGAGTTGTAAATAGTACGGTTGAAAAGGCAAAACCTGATTTTTTTTTAAATTTTAGAACTCAGTCCGAAATGGGCTTATTGAAAAATTTTCAAGAAATTCGAAAAAAGCATCTTTTCCGAACCGGGCAGGTACAGACTTGTCATTTTTTTTCACGCTTTGTTCGAACCTCAGAGAAAAAATCGTGAAAATTTGAGCTCTATTGGGAGAAGCTCGAATTTTTCAGAAATATTTTAATTGCTATAAAAGAGTAAGTAATGAGATTTGTAGAAGCCGTCATTTTTTTGTATTTAATAAATTGAGCAGAAACGTGCCTGTGGTTACTTCTGCAACGACTTTGATAAAAATCCTCTTATCTCAAAGAAAGCAGGTTTAAGCCTGAAATTTGTCATGTGCATTGCTAAGGCTTTCAAACGCAAAATGCACTGATTTTTCAGAACATTTCTGCTCTAGACAGCAATGAAAGAAGTGTTCAGGATTTAGCAAAATATTGTAAATCTTGCATCAAATTTGAAAAAAATTATCTCATCTTAACCAGAGCAGCTGCAAACTTGAAATTTCATGTATGCATTCCTAAAGCCTCAAAGGACAAATGCCGTAAACTGAAGGTATATTTCGAAAAGGGCTCTGATTTTTTCGAAAACTTCGAATTGGGACAGCAAAAGATAAGGTTATGCGGAATAAACAGACTTTTTTAAATTTGTGGTTTCTGAACCAGACACAAGTACAGACTTGGAAAGTTTTCATTGATGCTAAAGATGCCCCAAAGTGCAAAACGTGAAAATAGAAAGATTCAAAAGCAAAGTACTGATTTTGCAGAAAATTTCATATTTAGGCATTGTAAAGAAAAAAATTCTATCTTTGTGCAGAAAACACTGCAAACTTTTGTAAGTGAATACTAAGTCTAGTGACAATTGGGCCAAATATTCAATACCATATTACATACAGAGATTAAGTTGAGATTTCCCACATTTTCTTGCCTGATGGTTCAAGCAGAAAAATTCAAATTGTTCTTCACAGTCCCTTAAATCCTTTTCAACCGCTTCTAACCCATTGCCACAGTGCTCAAAAGGCGTTTTTCTCATCGCCATCTTTCTGCCACCCGTATAACCAGTAGGCCGAAGAAGAGACGAACCCCATCCGATCTTTTGTTTTATTCACTTTTTCTCTTTGTATGTCGGTCGGCCCATATACACGTCAGAGAAGGCGGAGGCAGCATCCTCGACCTTAACCATGCGATCTTCAGCAACAAGTGAACGTCATAGTTCTTGTAGATGACGTCAACAACCTACCAAGAGCACAGCAGTGGCCAAGAAGTGAACGTGCAAGAGACAAGGGCTTAAGATCGGTCGGCGATGAGCGGCTTTGCATTTATATGTGTGTAGAATCATGAACGCATTTCCGGTAAATTGTGAGATAAACTTGTTTTTCTTACGGTTGTTTCACGTTTCATGCGGTAAATTAGCGAATTTTTAACTGATATGGAAGGTCAATGTTCGATTGTGGATGTTTGTTTATGGTTTAGGCGAGGAAGTTGGGTTTCGATGCAGAAAAATGCATTTTTGATTTGTTATGCAGATTAGTTACTTTTGTACTTTATTTTTGACTTTGGGCCCTATTTTTATGTATTTGTTTTCTTCCCAATTAGTGCAATTGTTCCGCTCTGGCTTTCCTTGTTTTCAACTGATTCATTATTATTCTGTGTTTTGCTGTCTTTTACTAACAATGTCGTCGATCGATTTCCTCTTTTGAATTAGTGCTGCAACTGTCGAAAATATATTTAGTTCAATTGTCCTCTCGTTTCATTGAATTATTTCAACATTTCTTCGCTTTCAGTTCCAGTTGAATAATTTGTGTGAGTTTTTTCGCTTTTCTTTGATTCGTGTATCAAATGCCTTGCACCTCGTAAAATGCAAAAACTCTTGTTTGAGAATCAGCTGTATATTTTATGCAAACATGCATTATTCCTATTATATCGCTGTTTTCATCATCAATTATTTGACTAGTTTCCCAGTTCTCCTCTTTTTATTTTTGCGCGGTTAACATTATTTATTTTGCCAATTCGCATTTTGTTTAGCGTGTTTCTCTATTTTTGTTAGGAAATTGTCCACAAAAAGTGTGGAACCTGATGAATACATTTTTTATTTGCCTTTTCATTTCACTGTCATTTCATTTGTGTGCATTCTTTTGTCCTCTCAGTTGCTGTTAGTCTATCAACTTATTCATTAATATTCCGTTCTTATCGCTATTTTCACGTATGATTGTTTACGCTTTAGTTCACTGCGTTTGGCATAATTCTTTCGTGAAAATCTTGATTTTTTTCCATTCATTTTCAACTGATTAATTCATGTACGTTTCTTTGATTTTCCATACTTACTGTATGCATTTATTGGCAATTATTCCAGCGCCCACAGACATCGAACCAGAACTGTTTTTTCAGTTCTCAAAGTCTCGTTTACTTTCGTACTTTGTTTTTTTCTTCAATATTAATTTCTGGTTACTCTAATTAATCTTTTATGTATTTTTTAATAATGAATGTATTTAGGTTTTGCCATTTCTTTGTTCTTGATTCTTTTTCATTTAATCGTTTATTTTTTACTAAGTAATACAAATTCGTTTTCGTAATAACGAGTTGAATAAATGACTAAAACCCAGCGAACGAATTTGTATTAAAATTGAAGTATAGTCTGGAAAAATAACACAAATACTAAATAATGTATAATTTTCATATTTTCTTTTATTCCGTGTTTCCTCTAAATTCTCTACATGTTTTCATTTTTTATTGCTCATTTCCTGTTTCAATGTTTACAATTATTTTTCAGTCATTTTTGCTGCTTTAAACCTTAATTTGTGTTTAGTTCTTGCAATCGCTTTTTTCAATTTCCTTATTAGTTCTCACTTGTTTGTTTCTTGAAGAAGGTTTTATTTTGGTTTGTTTTTTCAAATTCTTTGTTAGTTTGATTGTGTTTGCCAAACGTAATATTAATTTTTCCTTCATTTCTTTGAGATTTTTGTTGGCAAAATATTTTATTGATTATTTTGTACACTTTTGACTCTTTTTCTTTGTGTTAGTTTTCACTAAGGACTGTTCTCTCTTTACTCTCCGATTTGTTTCTCTCTCGTGCTTTAAAGAGTGCACTTTTTCAAAAAATGCATTCTTTTGCCTCACTCTTTCTTCACATCTTTAATGAATTAATTCAATAATTATTATGCTTTCTGTATTGTTTTCCTGATTTATGTCCCTTTCACTAATGAGCCCACGCTTCAGTTTTTCGCAACCCCGAACTTTATTGCTACAACTTTTCCAGAAAGCAGCCAGGCCCAAATCAGGAGATCAGAATAAAGAGCTCAGGCGTCGCGACGCTTCCCAGCCTGCTACGTAACCCACAAATCCTGCAAGCTGAACGCCAGGAAAACTCGATCCAGATCCAATACGTGTTGCAGTAGTTCCCGCAAAACTTTTCCAGGTTTCACTTTTACAGTTATCAGGCGAGCAGCAGGAGCAGCGTCGCGACGCAGGCGTCTGGACGTTCGACATGCATCCAGAGTTTCCGACCTCGCCTTGACAATGAAACCGCGGCGATTCGGGACTCGGCAGGCGTCGATTCCAGAAAACTATTCGCCTCGGATCAGGGCAGCAGGAATGAGCGTCGCGACGCCGACGCTTAAGTTTTCAGATAATGTTAAAGCGCCGTTTGCTGGCCAGTCAGTTTGGTTATGAGATAAGCGTCTGGAATGGTTTTTGCAATCTCTGGATTAGTGTGTTGCAGGGTCGGCGATATCCAGGGTTAGTTCAGGGATAGTTTAGTCGCAGTAGCAGATCAAGCCTGGATAGTTCTATTAGGGAAACAGGAAGCGAGTAGGGAAGTAATCCGGCCTTAATCGCACATACGCGTTAATTCGATTCCTGCAGAGTGGCAGGAAAAATTTCGGGTTTTTGCAGATTTTTTCCATGGAAACTAGATGGAATCCACGGATGGTTTCCGTCTGATTAAGTTGATGAAACTGTCCAAATTTGCAAAGTCTTAAACCAGTGAAAAATAGTCAGTGCACTCTTAGTAGGTGAAAACAAAACTTTTTTGCTTTTCCGAGGTCTTAGTCCTCAAATAAACCGAATAGTATTTTATTTTTTTACTTAGTTTTCTGAAGAGCATTCAACCGGAGAAAAGATAGATTTTAAACGATCCATACACAAAGTCTAAAGGCGATTCAAAGACTTCCAGTTACTTACCGTACTTAAATCCTTTTCAAAATGTCGTTTGATAAAATTTCATACTCTTTTTACGCGCGTTTTTGACTTCTATAAAGCATTTTGAGAGCATGTTTCTATCCATTTTACTGCTCATTTTTTAAAATTTTCTAATTAATTATTAGATTTCATTTCTAGTTGCATTTTTTGACCAGGTTAAGGGAGTGATCTTTTTCGTTAATTCGAAAATATTTTCGGACGATTTGTTTGTTAACTTAAACTAAATTTATTTCATGCAAATCAGTAATTAAGTCGATTAATGCGAAATATCCAAAAGTCTGCTTGCTCTAGATTGAAATTTGCTTTTGAGCAAAACGTCCATTTTTTATGCCAACTTTTCCATCGCCAAAAATCAGGGATTAAGGCGGTTGGGGCTAAATTTTTAGTATTTTGAACTTCACCGGTCTTCGATGGACTGCCAAATGTTTAAGGGTCTACTTGCTCTAGATTGGAAATGGCAATTTTCTGAAGGAAAGAGGGCTTTTGGGAAAAAATACCCATTTTTATGCCAACTTGTCCAAATCGCCAAAAATCAGCGACTAAGGCGATGTGGGCGAAAGTTTCAGTTTGCTCAGAGAGGGATTTTTTGCTTCTATGAGTTTTTTAGCCCTTTGACTAGAGTTTCACTTTTTAATTCTTTTCTCAATCAGTTGTGTCTTAAGCTGACGCTTTTGTCGGTCTATTAAGCCGTTAAAGACGAAAAAAATAAATGGTCCTGAAACTTGTTTGAGATAGCTGCGCCGCAAGAACCCACACACATCGCCCAAAATGGCAGAGATGACATCCTGGACATATTCCTGTACAAAAATGCA